GAATACCACCTACCGCTAAACTTGTCCCTCAAGTTCGCTTTTAGGTGCTGCAAACAGAAAGCATGGTGACACCTTGGAAAAACCTTTGGCATGGCTTCCAACAAACCAACATTACGATCAGATACAAATATAATTTCCCTATTCAAATCCAAAATCTCTGACAGTTGTTGTAAGAACCATAACCAATTTGCCTCATTTTTTGAGTCAAAAATCACAAACGTTAGTGGGGATAATCCTAAAACACAAAGGTAAATGTATATAGTTAAGTAACAACAATAAACAACATACTGCTATATGAAAATGTTTAAAAGAAAAATATTTACAATAAACAATAGAGTCAGTCTACAATTACAATATACAATTAACAAAAAAAATATACATAAACACCATCATAATTAAGCATAAAATAAAAACACAAACCACAGCATATAGTACCTATGAAAAACAAACAGTAACAAAAATTACAATGACCAAAGACGGCAAAGAAAATACAAAATAAACACACACATATAAAAGGGTGTTAAAATACTTATACCTTGATTACCATCCTTCCCAATTGCTGAAAGAAGGTTTCTTTTGTACTTTCCTTTAATGAATGTCCCATCAATGAATAAAATTAGACGACAATAATTGAAACCTTCGATGCAAGCCTTGAGGGACACAAATAATCTCTGGAAGTGGTTAGTCTCATCATCGTAATGCAAAACTATATGGCTTCCAAGGTTTGTATTATTCATGGCATCCACATACCAACGTAACTGTTTGTACGACACAATATGATCCCCAAGAAGCATACTTTTTGCTTTTTCCACCACTAACCATGTTTAGTCATAAGATATGTCAAGACCATAAGATGTAAGAAAATCACTAACCACATTGACTGGACAAGTGGGCATCTAGTCACGGACAAAATCAACAATCAAAGCTACAATCATATTGCAAGACAATCTCTTGTTCTTTGTGGTACGTAATTCTACTCCACAGGTGCATACATTATTCATTTTTCGTAGGTAAAAGAAACCATTAAGATTCTGAATAGTTGCATTGGCATGCCATCCACAACCTTTATCATACTTTGACGCGCACTCAGCAATAACCCTATCTCTACAATTCCTCACATAATTGAACCCAATCTCGATTGAGTATTTGCATAGAGCTTTCCGGAATTGTGTGACACCGCCTTCAAACCTTTGGCCTACATGTCTTATTTCATTTGACCACTCAGCTGTCAATAATACTTTTTCAGTATGTGAGAAAAAGCGAGGTACAAATCATCATCAGACTCGACACCATCACCCTAAATATGAACATCTTCAAGCAAATTAGCATCAACCACCACACGTGACTCTTTATCTTGCACAGTGACGATGACCTCAACATGATTCACATTTATTAAACATATTATATCAAACATATTACGCAGGTCCTCATCATTTTGCAAACAACATTTTGGGTGATCTGGAATAGAATATGACATGACAACAGACATATTCCCCAATTCCTCCCATGTTTGCAAAGTGTACCATAAATGAAATCAAATGTTGAATGAACAGAACATTTGATAATAAAGGTGTCAACATCATATTTGCATACAATCAACACTATCCCCCCATTCCCGATTAAGATATTAAAAAAATAAATGACATTATATCAATTCAAAAAATAAAAAAAACAGTTACACAAAACAGCATAAAAAAAATATTAATACAAAGGACTGAATTAATTAATCACATACCGAGAGAAAAAAACATGATACAAAAAAATAGTTACATTATATAGGATCTACCAAATAAGTATTGGCTGAAAACTTGTATATAAGAACAGTTATACCAAAACGATACTACGATTTTTTTAACATAGTTACACAAAGAAAAAATCAAAAGAAACATGTCAGAAAAGCACTTAAAAACATAAAACAAAATAAGTATATACAACCAAACACTAATATAATTTTCTATATATACAGAAATACAATATCAACAAAAAAAACGTACATTGTTGTCTATACGAAAACTAGTTACACCCATTAAAAAAACTAAAGCAGTTCTTTTTTCCCTACATCCCAACAGCGAACAACATTTAACAAAATCGAAATTACAATTTTTCAATAAAAATGGCCGAATAAAAGAAAAAACTTAATTATTAAAAACTTACCTTCAAGCCAATGATGGTGATCAGTATTTGCAATTCCTTTTTTTTTTAAGAAATCCTCTATTGATTAAGAAAATAGACTTTGGAAGCAAACGAAAATAAACTAAGAAGATACCGCAACCGGAGAAATTAATCGTCAAGTCGTACATTAAACAAATTCGCAATGAAGTCAACCGTTGAATAACACTTTTACTGCAGATGTTGAAGAACACTTTTACTGTAGAGACATACCACAAAACTACAATTCAAAATTCAAAAATGAATGATAATGTCTTATGTAATCTTTTCATATTTGATTAGATATATAACTGTCAATCAAGACTTAATAATTTAAGGGAGAGTATTTAGGTAAAAATGTTTTGATTTCATTAACACAAAAAGTTGTATTAAAATTGAACTTATTCGCAAATAAATTTAAAAAATTGTACCACACCCAAAAAACACTTTTATCATCCAACGGAATATATAATTGCATTAAGTTGGGCTAGTCCTTAATAGCCTAAACAATTAAGACTGGGTTTGAAATATTGGTCCAATTAATTGGGCTTAAGATTATTAGTCCATTGACCAGGCTAAAAATTAGTGGTCCAATGAACCAATTTCTTGGACCAAGTTTGACACAAAATCTTTAGTGAAATTTGGGGGACCGTTCCTTGAGTGGATTTATTTGGTGATAAGTTCGTCAAAAAAATTTATTTAAGAACAAGTTTATTTTGATATTCATTGTCCAAAATACTCTCAATACTTATATTAAATTAATAACATTAAATATTAATATTTGAAAAAATAATAATAGTAAGATATTCAACAAAAAAATAGTAACATTGAATAGTAACGCACTCAACAAAAAATAGCCACATAAAAAAAATAGTAACATGCACAACAAACAAATAGTGACATGAAAAAAAAAATTTATACCGGTATGATGTCGTCTTCTTCACAAAAATACATAACTAACTAAATTGAGACCCAAATCGAGACCTCGATTTGTCAGCGATTATAACAAACGCGTGAAACAAGCCTTGCGATGACACTTTTCTTCATACACTTCAAGCCCTTCCTCAATCTCTTCAAGATCAAACGCGGGTCCAGATGACTTTCTCGGGTAATTCTTGCCCATTAGCTTCTTTTTGCCTAGTCCTCCAAGGCCAAGTAAAGATTTAACACCTTTCTTCTTGGACTTTTACATCCTTGAACCGCCACAATAGCAGCAGCACCATGAAGGCCAGCAGTCACAAATCATCTTTGGGCTCTTCTACGACACCGGTGGATTGTAGCCGTACAATGCTTGCCGGTTGCATACATAGCCAGTACCGACGTATATTGGGCTTTGGATACCATCTAGGCCTTTTATGTTGTCTTGTATGAAGGGAATTTTGGAGTTTTTAAAAAATTGTGAACTTAATTATTTATTAGTAACATAAAAACACAGACTTATCACTAACTAAGTTTTTTAACAGACTCAAATTATTATAAATCCCTTAAGTAGGATTCAACTCCAATTTTCACAAATCTTTAAGTGGAGAACTTTAAGGGCCCAAAATTGTTTTAACTAGGGCTGATCCATAAACAGTATATCATCTGTTGTAACAAACTAATCGAATCTAGAGGCAACATGGAATGTGTCAACCGTGCACCCAAAAAACAGTTTGCATGCGTCAACAATTGCCAACAGATAAGCCATAACAACGACAAGTAAACAAAAGGAAAAAGATGCATACTAAATTTGTTTTATATGAATAGTTGCTGAATTGGCAGGTCTTTTTGAAAGAACTCATCAATTACCGAATTTCATTTCTATGAAACATGAACAAATATATTGAAGTATATATCTATACTACTTTAAAATATCAGTATTATTAAAAAAAACACTTTATTTCTCACACTAAACCTAATCATTACCTCTAATTACTCCTCACCCGTTACTCTCTATCTCTCTCTCTCTAGTTCCCTTTTCCTTTCGGCTTCGGCGGTTCTATCCTTATTATATTTACGTTTGGGTGTATAATGGTTTTCTTTTACTGCAAGGTTGCCTACTTGTTCGTCAATACATGAGGAATTTTGCCAACGTTGATGGTGGTGTTTTTGGTTCCATTCGAGTTTCAAAGCCACCCAAAGTGGTTTATTTTTTTTGGTCGACATTTTATCTCATTGCTGACTGTTTTCTTCACTTTCAGATTTATCTACCACCATGATAATCCAGTCTGGGCCAATTGTGGATTTTATTACTGTCAACCAATATGTGAAAGACCCCTTTTTAATTGAATGGGAATAAGTAATCCATAATTTCACCTTGATGTTGCTGCTCTTCTTATGTGTGTGTTTGTGTGTGTGTCTAATGGGTGCGCTTGACATTCGGTTTCATCAGGCTAAACATACACTAAAGAATCTGAGGGTGAAAACAAGTCAATCCAATACTGGGTATAAAATATGTGGATGGAGTGAGAGGCCTTGCAACCATCAGATGCGTACTTTTCTTACTATTTGTTTTTATTTCCTTTTTCGTTTGTTTTAAAAATGATTCGCCATGCTTCAACATTTCAAACCAAGAGCACAATCAGGGAAAACAAGGGTATAGTCATCGATCATAATTTTAGCTTTCTTTCACTTAAATTTGTCTCCCACACCTCCATTTACATCAGAGGAATCCCTCACTTCCCCACTGACCATCTTCTTTTTCATTATTTTTAACATCTTATACTCCAACTGAATCATATGCGACGGTTCTTCTTAAGCAGATTTGTAAAATGGTGCTGAAATGCATATGGTTGTTCGAGTAATATGGCATTTCGAAGACCAAAGATTACTAGAACGCCTAGTATTTGCTGCCAGAGATAAATATCGAGCAAATGAAAGTATATATATACTTCTCAAAACATCTGATTTGTTTTTATTTGTGAGAGATTGAATACTTGAGATAGCATAACGTGGAAAATTGAGCTAGGACCACAATTATCTACATATTTGTCGTGGACCCTACAGATGGTGTAAAAATAGTTGTTGTACCTCCTCATTACATTTGATTTGGCATTCCTTATAAGCATAGAAAGATCGAGAGATCAAATGGTGGACTCAGTCATATACAAATCCTATAAAGAAAAGCAGTTATAAGGTATACGAGTATAGCCAATCTCACCCCATCTGCAAGTGAACTTACCTTTACTGATACTGAATTGTTAAATATAGTTTGGCTTGATTTTTTTGTGGATGTCAAAAATATCTTATCCTACCAGAGGTGAGTTATACAAATCTTGTTTCATGTATAAGGCTGTGGTTTTTTGATACTGCTGGTCAGAAACTTGTGTCCATCTGCTGTGCCTATGGTTTTGCTTTGGGTTGCCTAATCTATTGCTCTTAGTGGAGAATTGACCCTATGTAGGATAGATTAGTGGAGGAACTTTGTACTGTACAAAAATTGCTTTTTAAACTTGGTTTTTTTGTTGTTATGTCTTCCCAGTATTTTGAAATTAATTTTGATCCATTTATTGATGCTCCTTTCAATTTTTGGAAGACAACTTAAACCCAAGTAGAGTGTGGTTTTTGAAGTTATATCATAACATGTCTTTTGATATTTTTTTTTCGAATTTATTGTTAATTTCTATATTCCTTCATACACACTCTAGCACTAATTCCTACTCTCCGTTCCTAAATATCTGTCGTTTTACACAATTTTTTTTATTCCATAATATTTGTCGTTTAATGAAACCAAAGCATAATTAATATTTTTTCTTCCAAATTTACCTTTAACTTTTCAACGTATTAGATTAGGTGAAAGTTAAGTACCTTTCATATTTTTTTCCTTCCCAATACGTATTGAATAAAGATATTTTAGTCTTGTGCAATTATTTTTTACTCATATTAGAGCTATTTAATAATTCCTTAATTTATATGCAAAAATTTTAAACGACAGATATTTAAAAACGGATGAAGTATTAGTTATTATGACTTGTTTAGTTATTATGACTTGGATTGAACAAGAATCCATTATTTTTTTGACTGTCAGGCCTTTACCATATACCGGTACGATTTACTCACAGATTGCCGAGATTGTAGTATTCTCTATAAATCAACTGAAGCTTTTATCTTCTTCTCAAAACCAATAATATAATTATGGTGAAATGAGGAGATGCATTCCTTGGTTTCCTATACCCTTGTCTAGTTCGTGAAGTATAATCCACCTATTGAAAATGCTCCTGAGGAAGCAAAGAGAGATCCATCTGTAGCCCCACATATGCACATTTATATTGGATGTGCTAATTTTTCTTTGGGTGAGGTTTATTAGTTGTGTCTGTGTAGTAGTTTATTATTTGTTTAAACAATATTGTCAACATACAAAATATTTTACTTTCAAAGGAACAATAGTTATTTTTCTTCAACTTTGTTAATCGTTCCTTTTATTTTGGCTCTAGCATATTTTGTGACAATTTAAGTAATAGCATTTCAATCTTTCTCTTCTCCCTCAACTGGTCTTACAAAAAATATTGGTAACTGTCTTTATCAAGTTGAACACTTTACTTTGAAAAAAAAATATATATATATATGCTTCATGCATTTGCTTCTCCGTCTTGCATATATAGTAATGATGTTGGCTTTCCATTTAAGAATTCACACATTGCCCATCAAATGTGTGTAGCTACAAGAGCAGCAGTATTAGCAACAAGAAAAAAACAACAAAAATGGATTTAAGAAAATAAACGGTGTTTAGATTTGGACTTGTTGGTTTTCTTGGGTTCTTGCGACGACAGGATAATGTTGGATAAAGTATATTCAAATTTTGCCTCTATATCTTTGTGAGTGTTCATAAAAAAAACTGAACAAGAAGACATATGGGTACTAAGGTCATTTTACAATGTTTTATTAACAAAATTAAAAACTTCTCCAATAGTCCTCTCTAGCTCTACACATATTGAAAGTCAAATTAGACTCTTTTTTTAGTTAATCTAGTAGAGAAACTATCAAAGATCAATTTTTTATGGTTGGATCTTAAATAGTGAATTGAGTGAGAATATAAATTCTATTAAAGATGCTCTAATACTGCATTTTTATTCACAATTCAAAATGTGAGGGTGTGATGTGCTTAATAGCTCAACACATGAGTAAAAAAAAAATTGACCCAACTTAGTTTTTCCTTCAAAAATTGCTTGGTGCTAGATAATTTTGTGTGTATATTGCATGTATATCATGATTGGTGTTCACCCGACGTAAAAAGGTGGTTGTTAGTTCCATCTACATTAACATATATAGGTATATTTTGAACACGATTTGAAACCTCCTTTTGTCTTGTTGGAAAACTAATGTGACCTAATTGTAGAGTTTTTCTATATGGATTACTAGTGATTTTGCATTCCCTTTTAATTAAGAGGGTTTACTCATCAACTTACCACCGTTAACTTTCTCAAATAGAAGGTTAGAGGGCCAATACTTATCCAAAGGAATTATTAATCTATTCCGCACCCCTCTTTGGGTGCTCTATTATGTCTTCTAATTTAGATTTTTCTCCAGTCTCTTTTTGAATATTTCCTCTTCTACTCATGTAGTTTGATTTTAATAATCTCTCTCGTTGTGTGATAACTCTTATACTTGTATTTACTCTTCTACTTTTAGTGTAGATTGATCGGTTGAATACAAAGAAACATGAACAACATAGGTTTATGTGTATATATAGTTCATGCACTTGTCTCTATGTCCTGCAGAGTAAAGATATTGATCATTACAATGTTATTTTCTGATTTGGCAATCGCATAATGCCCATTAAAATGTGCAAAACAACAACAACATGAACAACAACAACAACACAACAACAACAACAACAACAACAACAACAATAACAATATAAGGGCTTGACAAATTTTCATTTGAACATCTATAACTACAAAACTAGTTGCCTAATCCATCTTTAACAGCTAGTTGGCAATATAAGGGCTAGACAAAAATATACACTCCAAAATGAAATTGTCCTACCATAATGTATTCATGTATTAATATTGACACATATTTGGTATGCTTAAAGTCTCACCACCCTATGGGTGACCTAGTAGAGCATACGATCACTTTTCTTACAAAAATACCGGGGCCATAGGTGGATTTGATCATATCTAGAAGGAGTGGAAATTGCAAAGATGCAAACAATATCACAGGTGCGCATGCCAATGCGACCACAGCGGTAAGAGTCCATGCATTTTTATCTGCAAAAACAAGAAAAAGTGCTGCTCCAAAAGCTGTCATCATAAATATCATGGATAGGAAAGGGTCACAAGTCCAATAATTAATCTCTTGGGTAGTGCATAGAGAAAATCCTCTTCGGCATAGCGTGAAGTTAGGATGGACAAGAACATAATCAAGGAAGAGCTTGACGAGAAAAGAGCAAGTGCATCAGATATAGCAAAAACTCTAAAACCTGTTTATTTGGAGAAGTTGGGAAGGCCATCACCTTTGTTTCCACCTGGTACGGTAATTGCCGCTGAGAACACTACAGTAACAATTAGTGCTGCTACAATAGTGCATGATGTAGATGTGTCTTTCATCCATTTCTCTCCTTCCTTCATCAAGTCTTCATGTGTCTCTGTAAATAACATTTTGGTGTCTTCCCATTGTTGTTTTTACGCTCTCTGTCATGAGCTAGTGTAAATTTTTCCACTTCCTATGTCAAACAAGGTGACTAAAGAATTAGAAAGCAAGTTTGTTATGCATGCATTAGCTCTTTAAAAATGTTTGATGTAGCAATCGAGATTTTGTGCAGTGCTTAGTATACAATTAGAATGAATTACCACCTATTGTTTTCATGTAAATAGATTGGTAGAATTTATTATAATAATTGCAATGATGCCCCTGACAGATCTGTACATATTATCCTTTCACCCCATGATATTTATAGCTGTAACAACAAGACTTCTCCGCTAGACATGCATTAGTGCCCTGTAAAAATAATTATAGATTTTAATTATAGATTTATAATTGGAACAAATCAACGATTATTAGAATTATGATGTGAGCAATATAATTATGAGTGTTGTAATCTAAAATTCGAAATAAAACATGCAAACAATAGTTATACCATATAACATGCAATTTAAATAAATACAGAAAATGTATAAATATGAAATTTATATAAACTAAATAAATTAATTTTGAATGAGCTGGTCTGCGAGTCCAAGAGACGTGTGATCACTGTCCTAAAGCAGATGAGCCTCCCCACGTAAGGGTACTGACGGACACCAGCGACTCCAAGATCCAACCCAGACACTTGCAGCAACACATTATCAATGGTCACGTCCACTAAAAGGTTGAAGTAAATCTGACTCAAATCGAGTTGCCCAAAAACAAAATAATAGAAGATAATAGAAAAGTAGGTCAAATATATATGAATTGAAACAAGCAATTGGAAGAAAGTTGGAGTGTTCTTTTTTTTATTCGTCGTTCTCTACCAAAAGATATCTCCAAGACATTATATAGCCACTGTGTGGTAACGTATAGCCACTGTGTGGTAACGTACACTTGATGGCTTTTAATGTCTTTCAATGTTTTTTTTTTCTCTTTTTGACCGTTGGGCTTCAAATGTGTAAACTGACTTTTCAATGTGTTTTACGGTTTGGCCTTGAATGGCCATAAAATCTGTTAAGTTGGGTGAATTAATATAACACAATATTAGAGAAAAATAGAGGTTAAAAATTTAATCTGGCACTCATACATCACTTGTATTTATAGTTAACCTACAATAATAAGAATTACACATATACCCTCTACTATTAATAATTTACACATACTACCATATTATTCTTAACACTCCCCCTCAAGTTGGACTATATATATCATATAATCCAAGCTTGGAACAAATAGCTGTAAGATATGTACGACTCGATGCTTTGCTAAACATATCTGCAAATTAATCTTCAAATTTCACAAATGGAGTTGTAATCTCCTCAGGTACTATCTTGTCCCGAATAAAATGACAATCAACCTCAATATACTTGGTTCTCTCATGAAACACAGGATTGACAGCGATATGAATAGGTGTTTGGTTGTCACAGAACAACTGTAAAGGAAATTGAATTAAAAACTCAATTTCCTGGAGGAAGTGTAGTAGCCAAGTCACTCACTCGTCATATGTGTCATTGCCCTATACTCAACCTGAGCACTAGATCTTGCTACCACGAGTTGTTTCTTATTTTTCCATGAGACAACATTACCTCCTAAAAAAATACAATAACCAGTAGTTGATCTCCGATCAGAAGAAGAGTTAGCCCAATCAGTATCTGAGAAACCTTCCATTCTAAGATGTCCATTAGCTCGATATAATAATCCAAGTCTAGGAGCTCATTTGAGATATTGCAGAATACGAGTAACTGCCTCCCAATGTGGTACTCTAGGACATCCCATGAACTGACTTACTATACTGACTGCATAGGAAATATCCGGTTGAGTAATAGTGAGATAATTAAGCTTGTCAACCAATCTGCGATATCGACCCGGTTCTCAAACAATACACCATCATCCATCAATAATTTTTGATTCAGATCCATAGGAACATCAATTGGTCTACCACCCAGCAAACATGCTTCATCAAGCATGTCAAGTACATATTTTCTCTGAGATAAACAAATACCCGGTTTAGACCGAACCACCTCAATACGCAAGAAATACTTGAGTTTTTTGAAATTCTTAGTATGAAATTGATCTTGTAAGAATATTTTTAACTTTACAATCCCCTCAGAATCATTTTCAGTAATCACAATATCATCTACATAGACCACCAATAGGACATACCCAATATCTGTCTGCCTATGAAACACAGAATGATCTGTCTGACATTGAAGAAGACCAAACTCTAAAACTACATCTAAAAACTTACCAAATCATGCCCTCAGTGACTATTTTAAACCATACAAAAAAATTTTTAACCAACATACACTCTTACCATACTCCCCCTGAGCAGTAAACTCAGGTGGCTGCTCCATGTAAACCTCTTCAATCAAATCACCATGTAAGAAGGCATTCTTGACATCTAACTAAAACAAGGGCCAATCAAGATTAGCAGCCAAAAAAATCAAGATACGAACAGAAGAAATTTTGGCAACAGGAGAAAAATTCTCCTCATAATCAACACCATAAGTCTGACTAAAGCCCTTGGCAATAAGCAGGTCTTTGAGACGCTCCACAGAATTATCTGGATGAAATTTAACAGTATACACTCAACGATAGCCAACAATTCATTTACCAGAGGGTAAAGGAACGAGATCCTAAGTCCTATTATGATGTAAAGCATCCATCTCCTCCTCTATAGATTTCCTCTAATCCGGATTAGATAATGCATCATGTAAATGCTTAAGAATAGATATAGCAGATAATTGGAAAATAAAATAGGAGAAGACAAGAGACAAGACATCATATGAAACAAAATGATAAATTGGATGATTAGTAACACACGAACGAGTACCTTTACGAAGAGCAATAGGTAAAGAATCTAAATTACTTGATGTTCCAAGATTAGAAGGCAGCAAGGAAGACGGTATGGGCACTTCAATTGATGGACGAGGATGGCGTGAGAAGACACAGAGAGGTAAAGTAAATGGTAACACAGTGGGCAACAAAATATTTGAAGATAAGGAAAAAGATGGTGGTACAGGAGAGGATCCAAAGTCTAGATCCAAAGGCTAAGAAGGTACTGGAAAGTATGGAACAGATTCTTCAAATGTGACATCTACACTAGTATAGTGTTGTTGCAGAGAAGGACTATAGCAACGATACCTCTTTTGCGTGCGGGAGTAACCAAGAAATACACATTTAGTAGCTCGAGGATCAAGTTTGTTAAATTTAGGACCCAAATTATGAACATAACAGACACAATCAAAAACCTTAGGAGTTAGAAAAAATAAGGGCTTACCAGGAAAAAGAACAGAATATGGACTTTGCTCATTTAACACAGAAGAGGGCATACAATTAATAATATGACAAGCAGTAAGAACAGCATCACTCCAATAATATTGGGGAACATTTATCTGGAATAACAAGGCGCGGGTGACTTCCAACAAATGACAGTTCTTGCATTCAGCAACACCATTTTGTGGAGAGGTGTAAGCACAAGAAGTCTGATGAATAATGTCAGTTTTTCTAAGAAAAACTGAAAAAGGATCATATTCATATTTTTTAGCATTATCGGAATGTAAAGTACGTATATGACAACTAAACTGAGTTTTTATATTTTTACAAAAAGTCTCAAATATAGAGAATAATTCAAATCGAGCTTTCATCAAAAATAACCAAGTCACATGAGAATAGTCATCCATAAATGTAACAAAATAAGGATATTTATTAGATGAAATATTCTTTATTGGACCCCATATATCAAAATGGACTAATTCAAATGGACTAGACACACTATTATTGACTCCAGACTGAAATGACACACGGTGGTGCTTACTAAGTTGACAAGCTTCACAAGACAAAGATGACACATAATTAAGACTGGGAACTTGGTGCTTCAGATTCTGGAGAGAGGGATGTCCAAGACGACAATGTCATTGAAAGGAGACAATGATGTCTATAGAGCTCGGGTAGGTGAATCAAAGTCAAGGTAATACAGGCCATTAGCTTCATGCCCCATACCAATTTTCCTCTTCGTCTTGAGATCCTGAAAGACACAATAAGAGGGATAAAAAGTTACAGAACAATTGAGAGAACGGGTAATCTTGCTAATGAAAAGTAAACTAAAAAGAAACTGAGGAACAAATAACACGAAAGATAGGGACATATCAAGACTCAAGTGAATAGTCCCCAGACCTGAAATTTTAGAACAAGTACCATTAACAAGAGTAACACTACTTGTGAAAGTAGCAGACTGATAAGTAGAAAAAATGTCAAACGCACCAGTCATGTGGTCAAAGGCGCCAGAGTCTATGATCCAAAGACTACGAGTGGAGGACAATAAACAGGTGAAAGCAGTACCTGACTGGGGCAAAAGTAGCAATGGAGGGAAATGGAACAGCCTGTTGCTGGGATAGAAACTGAACATATTCCTCTCGACCCAGTGTAATAGTAACCTACCCAGTGTCTGGTAGAGTTGACCGAGGTATGGAAGCAACAACAAAGGTGTCATCCTGATAAAAAGCCTAATTAGCAGTACCAAAAGGTTTTTCATGCAAATCCTAATAGAAATCAACAATGTGCCTCCACGGCCATAGTGAGTATAGGAACGGGATCCACTACGACCTCCACGACCATTCGTACGACCTCCGCAACCACCATGTCCACCTCGATAACCATCACTATAGCTATTAGGAACCACAAGAGCTGAGTGATCAGTGGAGACACCATGATCAATGACTGAAGGAGTAGACAGTGTAGCACGCTATAAACGAGAGAAAACCTCCAGTAGTGATGGAAGACTAGATCCACCCAAAATTTGAGAACGAATAACCTCAAATTCAGGTTTCAATCCTACCAAAAATCTAACAACATTCAGGTCCTCATGTTGCTTTTGCCAAACTGTTGCATCAGTGGTAAACGGATGGTAAGTCTTCATCTCCTTACAGACTTTCCGAACATGAGAGTAATAATCCTTAAGGCTTAGAGTACCCTGCTCCAACCGAAAGTACTCCTTGCACACCTCATACACACGGGTAAAATTACCT